GACATAAATTCATGAAATAGTAGTTCAATAACAATTTTGAATGTGAGTCAACAAACGAGATGACATGGCCTTTCACCCATGACCCATCTCAAAAAAGTTAATAGAAAAAAGTTACTATAAAACAAAATGCAGATGTAACTGAAACTGGTGCATGGTTCTGAGAAGTTTTGCCAATAAACAACACACTTCTCAATTATCTTTTAAGTTTCTCTGCCCATCCCAAACCCTAGGTTTATATTTGTTGAGGAACTATCACCGTTTGAGAGTATCCACATGTTATGTTGTTTCTCTCCTGACTTTTCTAACTGAGGTTCTATTATTAATACAACCCTTTTATGTTACAGCAGGTTGTAAACAATTACTAATGAAACACAGTTGTGAAATTAGCTACAGAGAAAGTTTATATATCATTTGTTAGTTTGTTTTTGAATTTCTTACAAAGCTACTTGAGGAATATTTGCACTGATCATCCTATAATGCCCCATATCTGAAAGGGGAAGCATGTTTGGTGATGGAGATTTCAGCCTGAGACCCACAGGATATGAGTTAACCATCTGGCCATGTCAAGTCTAAATATCATGGGATATATATGTATATATATAGGTTATAAGCTATATATGTCAATGTACAGTAAATAAAGTGGATTGAGCAGTAACTTAAGGTTTTATTGGAAAATGGCTAATTGGAGCTCCTGTAGGGACAAACAAAGGAATCTAATGGGAAGTTCAGAAGACTTAAGAACAAATCATATCTTTTATAGTTTTTTTAGATGTTATTTTTTTCCTGAAAATGTTTTCATGTTAAATTATATCTGTTAGAAACCTATGAAAATATTCTCCAACAAAAAGACAACTAAGCTAGTTATGTTTAGTAAGTATGGTAGCCAACAGCAAAATATTCTGATGACTCAGATAATTATTTATTGAATATTACTGTTTAGTTTACCATATTCAAAAAATGCATACAAATAAATTATTTACTAAAAGAAACTATACTTATTAGACATAAAATGATATTGATCAATAATATTGTTAGCAAAAATAGTTATCTAGTCTGATAAAGTAATGGTGACAATATTGTCAAAGGTGAGATTTTAGGTCAACAAAAATCTTTGTCAGTTTTCCCTGTGTTTCTAACAATTTATAGACAGATATAGTGACTGTTGTAATTATCAAAATAAATAATTTAGTTAACATCAGTCAAGTTGAAACTGGCTGTATATATAAAATGGAATTTTCTGATTAAAATTAAAAAATTACAACTAAAATTCAATGACAAAATAAAGTATTTTCAATGTTTTTAACAAAACAATGTCTCTCAACAAATTTTTTGAAATGTCACACCTAAAAATGATAGCAAACTAAATAAAACTATATGAATTTTTCAGGCCAAAACTTTATGCTATTTAATATGTTTGTATTGAGTTTCATGCAATTTGGTTAAGTATCTAAGTGAGGGCAAATTATTGATTATCAGTGACACCCCTCCAGTTCTGAAAAGATTATTCAATCCTTTCTTGAAAAGTAAAACATAGATCTGAAATGCTATTTTTACAAATTTCTGATCCATACACGATTAATTAACATAAATGTGGATAAAAAAGCAAATGCAGACAAGCATGATTTCATCACAGCTGTCTTTTTATTATAAGCACATTGACATTCATGCTCTAAATACTTTCAATTCAAATTAAAAGATTTGTTCAACAACAATGTAACATGACTTTTTACAGCATCAGCCATTATTGAAGTTAACATTTTCTTAAATCAAAAAATGTATTTCCACTAATATTTACCTCTCCTCACACTACAGATATTACTCAACTGTCAGGGTTTCTTCTTTTGCCCATTTAAGCATTGGTCTATTTTTTTCTCACTTGCTCCAGTCTTTTATACCCCATTGCCTTTGGTGATATTTATCTCGTGACACTCTCCACCTACTTCAATGTGCCCTCTACCCTGGTACAGTTTATAAGCACCTCATTCAGATAATGTTATCATTTTTTTTTAGACTAACTCAATCCACAGTCTCTGACACTGGCTCTTTGCACGGAGGAAGGGTGGGAGAGTGTAAAAAAAGGTAAATATTATTGGAAATACATTTTTGATTTAGGAAAATGTTAACTTCCAAAACATACTTACCTCTTCTCACACTACAGCTAGAATCACACATTGATAAGGTGGAGGGACTGGTGAAGGCATTATCCGTACAGAAAGTGCCTGAATAGATCATTGGTGTGCCAATAGAAGATTGGCACTCTAGTGGGGGAACCATACTACATCCAGAACAGGTATGCTCTTCAGCTGGAACATATTTCATGTACTGTGGTTGGAAATTTACATGATTTATTATCACTTGCCAAGATTCCACTGCTTGGGGTTGGAATTATAAGGCCATGGCCCCTATATCCCATATTGGTGGCTAGAGCAATTGGACTGTAATTAATATATATATATATGAGTGGATCCAACCTGTAGCCATAGGGTGACGTGTTCCGAGCCACCAGAATCACAAGAGGGTAAGCAACACTGAAGTGGACAAACCCTTTTCTCAACCTGAAAAACAGAACTCATCCAGTCTGGAATTATGAACACCCATCTTCTCTCCCCAACTGTGTGGACAAGATAAATTCTATTTGACCCCAGAATTAAGGGGAGGACATGGAACAATTTGTGCTCAACTAAGGACCCAGGATGGGACCACTTTGCATTCAGAATTACAAAGAGATAATGGACCCTTTTCCGTGAACAATGTACTGAACCAATATTGATAGAAAAAAAGGGGCCAAAGTCAACCCAACCAGATAGCTGAGCATCAAATCTGAACTGGTATTATGGGTAGGCTCCCATGTAGGCTAGTGACATCCTACTGACATCTGGGAAAAAACTTCCAAGGACCCAGGTATGAGGGCCACCAACTTTGCCTTCTTCTCCAAGAGCAGAGGAATTCATTCTAACACTATGGAGGAAAAGCCTCTGTTCACCATCCCAGTGACTGGAAACCAGTTGTGGTACTGACTCCCTAGCTCCAGTAGTAGGATCTGGGGGGTAATATTCCCTGGGGAGTCTTGAGGAACAGTGATCTGGAAACAGTGCAATAGGGGAAACAACTCCAACTGGTGATTTTCACAGGCCAGCAACAACAAAAAATAAACTTTAAGGAAAGGTGATAAATGGTACATGAAACTAAGGGCTCAAACAGATGTCGAGATAGAGCATGTAATACCACCTTAATATCCCAATTAGGTGATTAAAAAGGTCTTTTGGGATGAAAGACTCCAAATGACTTGAGAAGGCCACAGAGCACTGATAACTCAAATTTCTGTCTTTTTGAATACCTAAAGGTAGTCGATAAAGCCACCTTATATAAGGCAACTGTAGATGATGCTAAACCCTTGTCATACAGCCAGGTCAAAAAATGAGCTGTTGTTGGCATGTCTAGATAAAGTGGGTTCAATTTCCTTGTGAAACACCATTGTCAATATGTGTGCCATTTTCTTTGATAAACGTCCATCATGCGACTATGCAGAGACTGAGACACAACTTCCAAGCATGAAGCTTGAGCTTTGGGATATCTGGTGTATAATGTCGGATCATGGCTACCTCAACAGAGATGGCCAAAGTGGAAGTAACAGAGGTTGGCACTCTTGAAGATACCAAAGAAGCAGAATCCATGGTTGAGCTGGCAAATCCAGTGCTACCAACAGCACATGACAAGGGGTTGAACAACCCATTGCCAGAACTCTGGGAAGGCATAGAGGTACAACCCCATCCAGTTCTGATTGAATGTATCTGTCACCAATGTCCACAGGTGAGGTACAAGACATCAAAATCCCTGTACTTGAGTGATCCAATGAGGGGTAAATGCATCAATCATCAGTGTCCTGAACCAAGAGCAAATCCAATGGAAAACCTCGTGATGTAGCATCCAATCAGTCGGGAGAATCCGGTTGGGTCAAGACAATTGATTTGCTATTAAATTCATTACCCCCAGAACATGGTAAGCTAGTAGGCTGATCCTGTGACTGAGTGCCCCCTTGATAGGAAATGTAAGACACTACCATGGAATTATCAAAGTGAAACATGACGATTTTTCCCTTCAAGAATTCCAGACCTTGAGATATTGCCCTTTGGACAGCAAGAAGTTCTAAAATGTTGATGCGGAAGTAAATTTCGTCATCCATCAATAGGCCATGGAATTCCTCACCGTTGATATATGCACACTATCCCTGAAGTGAGGCATCTGTGAAGAGATGGATCTTAGGACAAGGTGGTGGTAGAGGAAAACCTATTGTAGTAATGTTCTAATCTAACCACCAATCGAGATCTAAGATGTTGTTCTGAATAAGGAGACTTGGTGATCCAGTGGATTGCTGTTCATGATCCATTGGTCATGTAGCAACCACTGAAGGGATCTAATGTGTGTTTGTCCCAAAGGAATGAGAGGATCAAGTGAGCAACATGTCTTCAAAAGAGAAAAAAACATCCATGCATTAGGAGAAGAAGACATGAATAAGAGTGACTGCCTGTTCCATAGCATGGAGCCGGATGGGAATTGGCTGAGCCTGACTGAGATACGTGGTGAAAAAGACACCCATATGGATGATATACTGAGTTGGAATGAGAATAGATTTCTTGGCTCTGATAATAAAGCATACCTTGGTGGCTTCTGAATGAAGAATCTGGGTGTGACATTCTGCCAACTGACAAGATATTGCTAGGAGAAAGAGCCATCCATATAATGATGTGTGCACAGGTCTAGAGAATAGAGGTGATGAGAAAAAGCTCATACTATTCTGCAGAACACATATGGTGCTGATGATAGTGCGAAGGACAGAGCCTTGAACTGCAGTACTTGACACTTGTGCACAAAATGTAGATAGCGGTGGTATGACACCACTATGGGAATGTGTAGATTGTTGTTGGCAACATTGAACTTGGTCATCCATCGTCCTGGCGAAAAATGACAACACAGAATGAGGAATTACTCCATCGTGAACTTGAGAGGATCCAAAAACTGGTGGAGACAAGAAAGATCAATGACTGGATGCCAATCTCTTGTCTTCTTGGGCACAACAAACAGACAGGAATAAAACTCCAAAAGAACTGGGCTGAATCTCTCTACTGCCCCCTTGACACAAGCAAGAACCTATAGCATCCATGGATTTGTAGTAAAGGAATTCCGTACATCCAGAAAATATCATAGCTGAGTCTCCATAATCCTCATAGGCCTATAGGCTGCTGGCTGTGTTCCAACCGAGTGGAGGAGTCTTTATGATGTGGGCAGAATCTATCGAGGAGTTGATGTCAGGGGTTATGACACTTGAATAGGGGTAGAGCTGTGACTCCTCGTAAGAGCCCAATGACATCAATGAGGAATGCAGACAGGTGACATCAATCCATGATTCCATAGACTCTTGAATGCCCACAAAAATCAAGGGTTGAAGAAAGGAGGCCTCAGGTAACCCATGGAGGGTGGCAGCAGGTAGATGAATGCCCTCCAACAATGCATCTCTACCCAAAAAACCCCAACAACATACCAGACAAGAAACTATAGATAGAGCAGAAGCTGACAACTGTACTAAGGTAGATGCCAAAAAAGGTCCTAACTCATTATCAAATTGATGTGGTGATTGCAAGGAGGGATAATAAATATCTCAGAACCGTAGTGAGGGTTAGAGGAATCCCAGAAAATTGTGATCTGTTGAAGTTGATCACAGGCTCTGTTCTGGAACCCCACATTTCCAAAAGCGAGTCTAGTCTTTGAGAGTCTAAATACATGTTGCCCTGGCAGTGGTAAGCCAAAGGAAGGCATAAACTCAAAGGCAACTGGGGAAAAACCCAAAACATCACACACGTGACTGACCAACTGAAGAAAGGGAGCCAGAGGTGGCTGATCCAAATTGGTCTCATAAGAAGGTGACCTAGAAAAAGCGAATATAAATTCTCTATTACATGTCCAAGATTGTCTGCAAAGGCAGCCTCAGAGCTCCCCAGAGAAACACCACACCAAATATGTCACGTTCTCACTACAAATCAGATCATGGACAATCTCAACTGAGAGTGACTCACTCCTGATACGTGGGATAGGGGAGGTTTGATTGGCCACTGTGCCTGAAACAGTAATCCAAGAATTCATGCTATACATTGCCTTGTCAAGCAAAAATTTTTTTTTTTACAAAAATCAACTAGGTGATGTGAAAATTGCTTCAAATATCTCTAACAGTCAGAGTACAGACAATCATTCCTGAATGCTTTGTTGAGAAAAACTGATAACATTATCTGAATGAGGTGCTTATATACAGTACCTGGAAAGAGGGTGCATTGATGTAAATGGAGAATATCATGAGATAAATATTGACTGGAGCAAGCAAGAATAAATCAGATCAATGCTTAGTTGGGCAAAGGAAGAAATCCTGGTGGTCAAGTAACAGCTGCAGTGTGAGAGGAGGTATATTTTGGAATAGAAAGTTCAAGTAGTGCCACCTGTTCTGAAAATTAACAAGGTTCACAGAAAGTTCTATTATAGCTTCAGAAATGTATTATACTCACCATGAATGAATCTACACATTTATTCCATCCCATTCTTATGGCTGTTTAAAAGAACTTATTCTAACCACTGGTCATTCAGTGTTATTCTTCTAATATGCTTCTGGTAACTATTCTATATTCCTAATGTTTCATAACCATAAGGCACTCAAAATATACATATAACTAGAATGATAGATTAGTCTAAAAGTATCATTTTATATATCATCTAATAACTATTTCACAAGTAATGCTCAGATGCTACATACCCGAGTTTCTGTCTGTAGAATCTGTTTCTTCTTTGTCTTGTTTATCAATCATATCAATGTGACCATAACAGCTCTGGGCTCGGTCATATGGTGCATTGGCTTTTGATGCAGTTTTTGATAGACTTTCCTCAAATACAGTGAAGGTCTCAACATTTTCTTGACTACAGCAAAAAAAAGGGAAACATAATATTAACTTTAAAGTAACCCTCACTTAGTAACTGAGAGAATGAGATGTAAATGCAATATATTAAACTTTTCCCCTTTTGTTATTGAAAACATTATATTTTTACAGAAACTTTAATTCCATCATTAACAAAAAAACTTCTCTTATTTCTCTGACTATGTAAAGATAAACGTTTGTGAATTACCTTGGTAAATGGATGAATTTTTGCAACTTACATAACATGATAATATACATATTTATAACTTATATGACAGATGACATACAAATATGGTAAACGATGGTGCTTGTGCACAAATTAACTAAACTAAAAACATCATATAATTAAAAGCACACAATAAGTATTTCAAGAATGGCTCCAGTCTTGTTGGATAGCATGTTTTGGCAGCTGGGACCACCCCACCATTATCAGGAGAAATCACAAGCTAACAGTGAGAGAGAAGCTTACATACCCCATACAGATGTACTTGTTTTAAAATAATATATTAAAACAAGTCAAACATATGTATGCAAATGTTAGTTATACTACTGATTATAACAATTGCATCCAGAGCTCTAAATAATTGCCCATTTTTTGTCAAACTCCACACAGGCTGGTTCAGTTACTTTAGAACACAATTGACAAGACAAATTATTCTTCTATACTCTGTTATTACAATACGAGCTGTGATCATTTCACTTTATAAACTGCCACAATATGCTCTTTATGGCTAAACTCACACTTATGCAGTTTAGATCTATCTATATCTAACTAAGTCAAACTACATTTTGAAGGAATATTTATAGCTTGACAGAGGTCTAAAAAGTTCCACACATTACGAGATATTATGATGTAATAATATTCAATTAAAATAATGAGAAAACTTAGAAGGTTTTAGTAACATAATGCAATAATAAAACAAGTGCCAATTCACAACAACTGAACTACATAACATATGATTCATACACAATTATGTAAACAAACCTGCAATAAACTGTTGCTTCTAAACATAACTAAATTTAACACTTGCATCAAACTCAAATTGAAACAGTCATGTATATCTGATATTGTCTAAGTGCAACTTCCCTTTCAAGTAGAAGATAAATGAAAGAAGTGGATGAAATAAATTTTTTTAATCCCTGATGAGAATATATATACTTTATGACTAACCTAAATGGTGATATGTAATTCTGTGACTTACCTCAATAGATAGCACGAGATTTATGATTTACCGCAGCAGCCAATGAACAATATGTGAATGTTGTATGTAGATGAGATGTACTCTGCAGTTTTTTGGCTCACTTCAGTAAACGGGATGTACTTTTGTGACTTACCTTTGCAGTTGATCATAAGAAGTACTTTGTGACTTACCTAAGTGGATGAAAAGTATTTCTGTAATTTATCTCAGTATATAAGACATACTTCTGTAACTTAATTCAGTAGATAAAATGGAATTTTGGACTAACTAGATGATATACACATGTAATTCTGATTTGCCTCAGTTGATCAGATGTACTTCTGCAAATTCCTAATGGGACTGGATAATACTTAGTGTCTAAATGGTTAGGTTGTGGCTTACCTTAGTGGATGAGATACAGATTTCGACCTTTTCATGGACTCGTTCACCACTAAATTGTTGCATCTTTGTTGTTTATGGATGTGGGAAGGCTAGAAGAAAAGCTTTAGTTATGTAATTACTTGGATATTTAGAATAGAAAACTTTTGTAGAAATACAAAACTGAAAAACTTGTCCCTTAAATCTCTGGAAAACTCAAAATATTTCTGAAAGGCTAGAAGGAATTATAGAAATGTTGAGAAACTAAAGGATATTGCTTTGTAACTTACTCATCAACAAGAGAAATATAATTAAAAAATACTTCAGTCATGACACTAATCATTTTACTTTCCGTTATTATAACAACAAGATGGTTATTAGTCAAAAATATGGGTCTCACGCTCACATCTGGTACATTAGAGATTTCTTAAAAAAAAAACCTAGTTTAATAATAGAATAATGTTAAATACAATTACTATACAAACAGATCAAAGAAGATATGAACTTACTGTGCTTCGAGATGTAGAAGCGAGAGAGATCATACTAACTGTTGCTTTCAGTTCATCAATACTAGCACAAATTGGAGTTCCACTTTTCAGCGGTTTTATTTCTACATGGATCTTATTTCTTCTGTCGTCCTCATCTGATTTGTAAGAAAGGGTTGGAAGAATAGCTATAACACAACACTTTAACAACAGTAACATTTGTCAGTAAAAAATGAGAAAGTTTACACAAGTAATTTCTAAACAGCTTTATTTTATTGATATAATGCTTTGTGATACACATAATTATTTATCAGAAAAGCAAAGACCTCTGCGACAATTCTGATACCCAAAGAAGATTTGTAACCAAAACCATTCCTTTATTGAGATCAACTAATTTGGAAAGACAGTTTCTCATGTCCACCTCTAATAATGAAAGTTTATGTTTTGAAAGTGTTTGGATTACCTTTTGTTTAATTCTGTTTTACCATGTCTGATAATCCTATTTTCAACTTTATAGAAAATTGATGATGGTGTAAAGAATATGGTTTAATTGTTCATTTAAAATGAAACTTTTAAAGCTACTAAACATGAGTGAGTAAATGCTTTAGCTTGGTAACATTCTAAGAAAACATCCAAAATGACAAACCATTTAACTTTTAAAGCTACTAAACATGAGTGAGTAAATGCTTTAGCTTGGTAACATTCTAAGAAAACATCTAGAATGTCAAACCATTTAAGTTTCGTAAGAATATATACACTTTTAAACATTTATTTCTTAAAATGAAATCAAAAACAAATGACAATATTAAAATGATTCCCAGTATTATAAAAAAGAATGTTTATGAGAACCTAATGAATTACTATTATCTATATATTATTCAAGGTGATTCTTCTCTTATTTTAATTCTCTCAATACAAGCTTGGTCAATTTTATTGACCACATGACCTCTTTGTACTTGTTCAAAGTCTTTATGGATTTGATACTACTAACTTTTAATATACATAAGTATTTCACAAACAAAAAATCATATTTTTTAGTGAAGTATTTTTAATAAACTAAAAAAAAATATTTGTCTGTGAATATATTGAGTATTTGTTTTGAATAGTTTGTGTGCAAAGTGATTTTCATGTTAAGATTAAAAATAATTTTCTTCATCTCAAATTACATTTGTGTAATCTCTAAAACCTCTTAAATACAATTCAAATGTTTGTTTTCAGTAAAACTTTATAGTTTATCTGTTATTTTCCGTACCCTAACTCTATACAAGGTTGGTCAATTTGACCGACCTCATAACCACCAAGAAACATCTAAATTACCCTCTTTTTCTTTCTAGAATGACTTCAAATAGAACATGAAACTACATTCGTTTATCCTAAGTAGCTTTAAACTCATAACAGTATACATCTATTCATAATTAAATTTTATTGTTTTATTGCTCTTTAAACTGTGTCTAACTACTATTCGTGCCATTATAAGTTGTAAGTCACTTGGGGAACATGCAGCTCATGTTATGCTATCGAATTACATTACCCACGAGCTACTCCGAGCTGCTCTCATGCATGTCTCATGAAATATTTTGATTATATTATTATTTATTTTACCTAATCTAACCCTAAAAAGATCCGTATTTTTACATTTTATTTACTTTTATAATAATAAATAAAGAATAAACTTGAAAAACAAGAAATAAAGTACTTACCTGTGTCTTCTTTTTTTGCTGTTGACTGACGATGACACTTAACCCTACATTTTTTATACTAATGGTACTAATGCACAAAATAATTTTTATTTAATTAAATAATGCACCAATAAACATATACTAATGATATGCAAAAAGCAGACAATTTCCTCTAACTATCACAATTTTTTTGGCTTTCTAACTATGCGAAAAGATCCATTACAAATTCATTCAAGCTAGTTATTATCTTTCCTATGGAAATAAAGCTTATACTAAAAGAGAAATTGACAATTCTCTGTTCTGAAAACAACATTATACAATACATCATTTGATAGATGAAAACCTTGGCTTTCTATTGATTATAGATAATGTAGAATTAAACGTAAGAGAGAACTATTAACAAATCCTGAAAGAGGGAATGTGACAGGTAGGTGTGACAAGAGGGATCTGATTTTCTGTTTGATGGCTCCATAACCCCAAAAAAATTGAAAGCTATATAAATTATGGTTTGTCTGAGCAATTATGATTTTATAATGAGTAATTTACATTGAATTTCATACTTATTGGAGGGTGGTGAATAAAATAGAGAAGATGGGATGCCTACAGAAAATTTCTCACCTTTCTCACACTAGGGGAAATTCAGAATTTCTTAAAATATGGATTATTAGCTACGATTTTATGCTATACTAATTGGTATAAAATAAATAAAAAATAGTTTATTAAAATTTTGAATGCAAGGCACTAAAACCTTGTGACACGTTCAGTAAATGATGCCCGGGAAGATAGGGTTAAAAACATGTCACTTTTTTATATATATATACATAAATGAATATATATGTATATGTGAAGATTTAAAGTGTTGTATTTCTCACTAAAAAAAAGGAAGTGTGGTTTCATGTTGATTCACATTGCACAGCAAGCCTTACAATCTTACCAGATTCAGTCTCAGAGCTTGAGTTGAAGCTGTTTTTGTCCTGTACAGTATTAGTTAAGGTCCCACAAACAACATGTTTTCAGAGTAATCAATGAACAAGGATAATGCAAAGTTGATGGATCCAGAATTAATGAAACAAAGAAAAAATGGTATAAAATAAACAAAAAATAGTTCAATAAAATTTTGAATGCAAGCCACTAAAACCTTGTGACACGTTCAGTAAATGATGCCCGGGAAGATAGGGTTAAAAACATGTCTCTTTTTTTATATATACATAAATTAATATATGTATATGTGAAGATTTAAAGTGTTGTATTTCTCACTAAAAAAAAGGAAGTGTGGTTTCTTGTTGATTCACATTGCACAAGGATAATGCAAAGTTGATGGATCCAGAATAAATGAAACAAAGAAAAATTAGTAAATAATTTAATCTACTAATCTAATCAACACAAGTGGAAAATATATTTACTGATATAGAGGAACTACAATGAAACAGTTAATCAACAGCACCTTTGCCAATTTTGGGTTACTCTTGTCTTGGAATTTGATTGTCACTCTCATAGCACATCCTTACTCCAAAATTGTGGAGGTTGTTTCAACAGCAATGGGACATGAACCATGAACTGTTAAACTATACCTTTAATAAATAAATAACAAAATAAAAAAAGAAGACATTCTAAAGGATATTTTCTGGTGGTTCTTCAGGTGGTCTGATGGTGTAACCTTCTGAATCTATCACTGGAGCAGACTAAACAAAATTGAGTTTTATGAGTAATTATGATTTAATTATAACAACTTTTATATATTGTTATATGCAAAAATTAAATACTAGAAAAAATAAGTGAAATTGTAAGAATAATATAAATTTTTTCCCAATAGCCATGAAATATTTTTCAATTAATATGTAATATTTTGCACACCTATAAGTAAAAATACATATTAGAAACATACTGTTATACACAACTTAAAAATTTACTTTTCTTTATTGTTAAATTTTTATTAATTAAAAAAATATTTTATAGCACTTCATTATAAAGACATTTGTTGAGAAATTTGTATTCTAACTTAATATTAATACAGATCTTCTATCACAATATTGAGTTTGTCTTTCTCTACATAACATGAAACACATAAATCTGACTAAAATTTGTCAACTTACTTGTGCTATTGAAGATAAAAGTCTGCCATTTCCACTGTAACATATGAAGATTACAATTATTACGAGTACTAAAACCTTTTTTAATATGCCATTTTATACAATTACTTTGTCTTGTTTCTGTTTTTTTTAATTTTGTGCAAACCTACATGAGGGCTATCTGCGCTAGCCATTACTAATTTAGCAGTGTAAGACTAGAGAGAAGGCAGCTAGTCATCACAACCCACCATCAACTCTTGGGCTACTCTTTTACCAATGAATAGTGGGATCGACCATCACATTATAATGCCCCACGGCTGAAAGGGTAAGCATGTTTGGTTTGATGGGGATTCAAACCCGCGACCCGCAGGTCGGGAGTTGAGCGCCCTAACCACCTGATACTATTTCTAAAAACAAACAAATCAAATGATAAAATACCTTTGTGTACCATTACATTTACCAGTTATGCCAATCTTGTTTATACACTATTAAAATTCACTGTTTATGCCTTGCATGCATAAGATCCAACTGACTGAATACGAGTTAAACAAAATAATTTCAGGTGAATAAAACATATTGTTTACCAAATTAATCATACTGGAATCACAAAAAGTGAAAAATTGGACAAAAATTAACCATTTCAAAAAGGCAACAAGTCAGAATAAACCTTACTGTAACTCTACCAATAGTTCTCCTTTTTTGAAGATATACAGTTAAACAGTCAGTGGTAAAAAATCAGGTGATACTTGTAACATTATAACATCAACATAATATTGTTAATACTAGAATGTCAGTATAGATGTTAATTAAGCCAAATCTTCTATTCTTCTTATGAGTACATTACAATTCTGTCTTCATGAAAAGGGTTCAGAGCACATTAAAGTAATCAATACTAAAAAAGAAAAAGAGTGAAAAGGGGGCAAGTGTTAGATAGGCAGAAAAATATTTTGATCAGAAGACAGTCGAGTCTCAGAATCCGAGAGGTTATCTGTTCTGAATAGCCAAAGCAAGTTCCTTAATATTTCTCATTGTTTACAGAAAAATTAAGATAAAAACTTCCACCCCCGCATTAAAAATAATTCATGAAACCTACATTTGTTAGATTAGCTTTAGTAACAACTAAAACATGTCTGAAATTTACTATAGGTATAATGTGTTAAAAGTATGTAAAGATGTATTGTCATACTTTAACATGTTGCTGCAATTTTACTTACTATAATGATTTGTTTGAAAAATCATTTTGCTACAAAATTTTCTAAGTATTTGCCATTTCACAACTGCAACTCAACAATTTTTGGAAATCATGAAGGTCATTCATTTTGAACTCTGGAAATTGATTGTTAGCCTCTGGAAATTTGGGTTGCAACACTATATGTAAAAGTAATAACCAAAGAGTCTTATCCACTGAAAGAAAAAACACTGGTCTTTGTATATTTAGTGATTTACTAATGCAAACTTTAGAAAAATTAAATATAGTACATTTTAATGAAACTGGATCCAAAACTTCTAGGTATTAGAAAATTATATAACTCTACTCTACTTGGATGTTATTGTTGTTTTGCATAGAAGAACGATTTTACTTAAGAACCTAGACTTTACATGTTAAATGTTCTCACTTTATATCAAAACAAATCATAAGAAATTACAGAAACATAAAGAGAGCATGCACTTACATAACACTCTTATCTTGAGCTGTGTGTTCATGATTCTCAAGCATTTCTTTCTTTTTTTTTCTTTTTCTTTTGCTCCGAAATAAAACTGTCATGCAGTATTAAATAAAACTAAGCAAACCAAACTGACATGATATTTTAATATACAAAAACAATAAAAAACTGCTCATGCATTTAATACACATAAGATAATTATTTGGTTCTTGGGATATAAATTTTGATTATACATGTAACACTTGCACAGGAGCTTGTGGAAGATTAGTAATTTCTGCTGAAATCTATTCATTAAATGTACCAACCAAATTAAATAATCAAATTCTACTGAAGCATCCTGAGTTTAAACTAAAAATTAATTCAACAACATTGCTTATACAAAAAAAAATCTTCTTAGATATGACACAACAGCTAAGTAACTTATAACATTTTCTTAAATAAACAGCTAAATTTGATTATTTATCTACTTCAATGATAAGTCATGTTAGTAGAACTCATAAATATGCTTTTTATGAAAAGAAAAAACTACATGAACCTTAATAGCAAACACAGAATGTTTTACTTCTATAACAGAAATTCAATGATAAAATCATAGTGGATTATTTTAATACCTTTAAGTTGAAGTTGTATCACCAGAGAACATAGCAACATAAAAGATAAACTGGAACTGATACATATTATAATATACATTAGCTTAACTAAGTAAGTGAAATTAATATTATTTGCAATTCAAATAATGGTAGAAGAAATGTAAAGTTTTTAACATTGCTTAAGGCATTGTTATCGACATCACAAATGCTTCTAGAAGAGGAAATTGAATTTCCTATGTATGTTATACATGTGTTGCAGCAAGGAGATGCACCCTAATAAATGTATAATAAAAGAATTCATAAAGATGGTTTTCCCAAGTAAGGATTTGTCATGTGACAAGTCGAATGAGACACAGTGACAAATTGCAACATCAACTGTTTACGTAAACAATCACTGTCATAGCAAAGAGAAAAGCTACAGAAAGTTTACATAAACAACCACTGTCATAGCAAAGAGAAAAGCTACAGAAAGTTTACATTAAGTACACTAACTAGTGCAATGGAATGATCAACAAAAAGGAGAGATACAAGCAAATAGGGTGCTGATTAACAGCTTCTGACAAAATCCAATTAGTGTTTGGTTTTGGTTCAAGGAGTCACTGAATCAGCATAATTGAACCAATTAGATGACCTACTTGTAGACTGGACCTAGTGAGCTATTTGAGTTATTGTAAGAATATCCAGAAAAACATATAAAACCCCATGTTTTTGGGTTGAAAAGGAGCTTTCCCTGATATTTTCTGAGGCAGAAAAATCCTGTACCAAATCTATGCGACATTTCCTGAGACAGACAACTCTAAGTTTCGACTGACATCTCTAGTCTAACAACGCATAGTATATGATGTTTCAGTAAGTTCTCTACCCATTACTGGGTTCTAACTAAAACTGGATTATGTCAGTATATATTTCGCATAATAATTTAGTGGATAATTTGTTCAACATAGTGACAGATTTAATGAATCTGATAAAAGGTTCTCTTAAAGAACAATTATATGAGCAAAAACAATACTTTGATGTTTGATGTAGAACTGTTTCAGAATGATTTGGTACTTTCGATGTTAATGTATTAGATATGGATGTATAAAAAAAACATTGTATGTTGTATGTATCATCAGTCTCCAAGTCAATTCTTTGTTTCACATGTAAGTTCCTCAAGTTGGTGTGCTCACTGTGAAAAGTCAAACCCAACTGACTGGCCTTCACTGGCTCACTTGTTACAGAACCATGGTGCCTGTCTGAGTGTTCATCTGTCTTCTGTTTCAAAAGCTGCACACACAAACACAAGCAAAGCTCAACATTTACTTTTGAAATTACGGGAGAACTAGCATGAATAATATTGATGCCAAATTGTATTTCACAAGCAGGATATTTTACACTAAGTTGTTAGGAATTGATCACACTATCATTCACATTTCAAATTGTGACATAACTTAAAGAATAAAAATGTAGATTTAAAATATGTTATTGTTGAGTGACTCTTAGCATGACTGAAATGTTCCAACAATTACATTTTGCAGTGAGTGGTATAAGTAGCTTAGAGTTTTGGCTCTAAGTGAAACCAAGAGTGCAACAAAATTAACCTTTTTAAAGTCCATGAAATAATTTAATGTTACAGGTACTTTTGCTTGTTTTTCAACAATGACATAGAAACAGTTTTTGGGTACTAAAATGTACATTTACAATAAAATGTAAGTAAGGGAGTACCAACAGGAACATTAACAGCTGTGACAGAATTAGTAGAAATTATAAAACAAAAATTTTCATTTGCATTAAGAAAATCAATTAACTCTTGTTTTTATTATAACAATTTCTTAATTACAATAAAAATATTCTTAATTGGTTTCTTTTTTTCTTAAATAACAAAGTTTACATTACTCAAGAACTAGCACTGCCCTAATAAATGAAACTACTTGAAACAGATGAGAACACCCTCTCAAGACATTCAGGCTTAACAATGCTATTCAAAGTCAAATATAATAAATATGTGTAACCAACCAATGGAAAAATATTTGTACTTAGATAAAATAAGCAAGTAGGCCCCTTTTCATTTTTTCCAAAAGTATAACAATGAAACTAAAATAAACAAATTACACTGATCTGAAGGGAAAATAAAATAAATTAGTAAACATACAGTAAATTACAAGTTCAACATAGCTTGACTGACCAAAAGTGTGAGAAGAACTGAGAAAAAAAGTTTATATATGAGAAAATAGAAAACCAGCAAATGAGGCTGTTTATGTAAGATAAAGTAAACAGATGAGAAAATCAGCTAATAACACTAAAATAACTCAAAGCTAAAAAAAACGATTATGCATGTTTACTGACAAAGCTACCTGTTGTTAGGTGAATTTTGCAAAAAAAACTACTCAAGGGTTACTTGCATCAGCTGTTATTAATTTTGAAGTGATAGTTTAGATGGAAGGGAGCTCGTCAACACCACCTAGCACCACCTTTTTAGCTACTCTACTCAAATAGTGGGATTTGACTGTCACTCTTATAATTCATCTACATCCCCAGAGTGTAGAGCCCTATTATATTTTGGCAATAACAGAGCTTGAATCATGGAACCTCATACCCGCAGTTCAGTATGCTAACCAGTATGCTTCAGATATAAACTTTTACAACAGATGAAATAAAAAAAACACCTTTTTTATTCCAGACCATGGTCCTGGAGAATAATTTACCTTGATTTAGGTGTATTTCTAGCATTAATAAGAAATAAGATCCAACTCAGAAAGAAAGTCTACAACAAAATACAGGTTCCATACAAGACAGATTTTTACAAACATCTGAAAAAATTAAACCCCAAAACAAATTTTATATGAAAATGGTGTTAATGTATACACCTTTTGACTGATTACATTTTCAAAGTCTTATTTTTGGGTTGGCAAATACATGTCTCAAAGCTATTAAAAAAAAAGTAATTCATCCTTATACTTACAATTGGAAGCTCTGAGAGCAGTACGAGCCAGAGCACTACTTCTACTCAGAGTAGTTGGAGTAGAGCTGGTAGAAGTTAGGTCTGCCACAGAAAATGCATGGTTGGGTTTGGAAGAGGAAGGTGAAACATCCTTAGAGCCATCATTATCTGTAATATATTATCTGTAGGTTGACAATGCCAGGTAAGTTTATAGTGAAACACAAACTACATTAAGTGATCTTCATTCTTCAGGGGCAAACTGGGAATGGTGGTGTAATCAAATGAGTGATATATATATAAAGGGAGTTTACTGACATTATGAAGGTCATCTGATTTTACAGAAAATGTTTAGTCTATTTCTCTATGTACTGTTGTAAGCACATCATTTCCGGTACACTGTAGCCGATGGTGAGAGTGTATGTGAAAAGGTATCTTTATATCCTCTTTGTAACATGGTTTGTTTTAGATCCTTGGTGTGTTTTCTGTAGTCTGTTTCATCTGAGCATATTTTCTTTATTCTGATTGAAATGGCTAACAACACTCAGCGGAAAAACATTCTAAATTAGAACAATACTAAACTTTCAAATAGAATTCTTCTTATCATTACCCATCAGATCAAACTCAGAAACGTTTTACGAATTCTGATAAAACATTTTCACCTACTACAACTGAATGATCACCTTAAACAAATATTTCCTGAAGTCCCCATTGTCTCCTTCTGAAAAAGCAGAACTCTAAAAGATACAACTCATTTTCTGACAAGCACAATCAAAGAAACCACTTTTGAAACAAAAAACATCATTTACCTTATACAGTGTAAAAAATGCAATTACCAATATGTAGGACATACACAAACAACTCTTAGAGAATGTTTCAACAACCATAAATCATCTATTAATTAACACTGAAAAAGATCTCCCTATTGCTCAACACTTTAATCAACCTGGTCATTTCATTAACAATGTTACTCTCATCAGCATTGAAAGAGGATTCAAAACTAAAACAGATAGAGAAATAAAAAAAAGCTTATTGGATTGCTAATCTAAACACTGTTCAACCTTTCGGAATTAATCTACATCCTGAAATCAGTGATCTTCATTCACTGGCTTCATCTCTGTCAGAAAAATAATTTTTATTCTTTATTTTTTTCATGTAATGTGAACACTGAATTTCCTAAAACTTACTATTTATTTAAGATAACTTTCCATACCTATTTTTATAAATTGATTAGCATAACATATCTTTTTCAATCATTCTCCAGGTGTCACCTTTATTTTACTTACACACTTAAGTATAGTTTTAAATATACATATATTTATCCATTTCTAAAGTTAAATATCCCTAACACCCTTTTACATACACTTTCACCATTTGCTACACTGTACTGGAAGTGAGATGCTTACAACAATACATAGAGAAATAGACTAAACATTTCCTGGAAAACTGGATGACCTTCATAAAGTCACTAAACTCCCCTTATATAAATATATATATATCACTCTTTCGATTACACCACCATTCCCAGTTTGTCCCTGAAGAAGAAAGGTACACCTTTTGAAAGTGCTCAGGTTATAGGGTTTTTATTCATTTCTACCAAGACTTCTTGAATTTACATGTTTTTTTCATTATATAGTTGGTACCTTGATACAAATAGAAATCTTACAAGATAATATTAATACTAAAAAACTTAACTGACAAAATGAATGAAATAAGCATAATAATCACTAAAATATGAGCAAAAGTTGTTGAAAACAATTAAAGTATCACATTTATTAATTTTTACAGCATATCAAACTTTAAAAGCTACTTGAATAACACACAATACATTTACTGCAACAAAATTTGAGTGATTAACATGTGAATAGATTTCTAGCAATTAATATTGAAATTTCTAAGCATAGATGTAATTGTGTTCACTCATTCAAGACTCCACTGAATGTTCCTCTAAATAATGACATGTTGATGCAGGTCTTGAACAAGTGTGGTCTGCAAATGTATTAGCTTTAACTAACTTACTGAATGATGAAGAAAGATAGATCCATGTTTATTGAAATTAATTCTTAGATAATTTCACTGACTCCCATAATGTCAACAGATCAAATGTACAATAAACATTAAATATTTAACATCTGTTAGACCATTAATTACAGAATGTATATTTCACCATTCTTTAATATACTATCACTCTTTGTATAACTGATTTACTTCCTATGCTACAAATGATACAACTTTTGTAATATATTTCATTCAAACATCTCATGTGTAATAATTTTACATTTATACATGCGATTTGCCAACACATTATATTTTTAACTGAGTCCAAAAGTTATTAAACAGTAAATTTCAAGTGATTCATTAGAACATGAGGTGTAAGTGCATGTCCAAATGTTAAAAGTAAGACTTTATAATCAAACTGTTAGGACTGAAAACCATATACACAATCAAAGAAAAACAACACATGTTCACAGCAGGGTTGATAAATTCAAATTATTACTTAATAGTTTCTTATCATGTGGCATATGAAATTTTCTGTCTGATGTTTAGTAGTTTTAGTGAGTAATATCCTAGTGTAAACTCCCATTAGGATAACTATTTAGGTTCACAATAAAGTCTGCAAAAACTGTAAATACATGAAAAAACAGGTTTGAATAAATAATAATTTTTGAAAGTTAAAGAACATAATAAGAATAATGCAAAATCATTAGCTACAGTAAAGCATGCAATTTAAAATTAAATTTTTTTTCACCTATAATACAGACATGCAGTAAAGGTGAGATATCACAGTCCTAGTTAAACATGGTTTTGTTTGGGGGAGTAAGTTACAGTTCTTTTACACCAGTAAGCAAAAAAATTCTAATTTGACAATTTTTTATTATTTTGCTTATAAGAAATAGAAGTTAAACTAGAAATTGAAGAGAGATATCTACTAACTGCAAAGCATTATAAAGGCAGTTAGAGAAGTGTTTTAACATTCATTACCTTTACTTGATGTATGATACAAGTCTGTCATAGAAACAGCACCACTTTTTTTAGTGCGTATTGAAAATCTTTTAATATTTCTGATTTTTGATTTGTTTGCTTTCCTAAAACTAGCACCATCTGGCATCTGGAAATGATGATCAGAAGATAAATGAAAGGGTTCCACTTCAACTGGCCCTTTAGAAAAATCATAACAATCCTATTAAAAACCGTATGACAACCAGTCTACATTTGTATATACATATGTACTAACAATTTTGACTTAAAATCTAAATGTTGAAAGGAAGAAAGAGCTAACATTTGGAGACTTCCAACTAGTTTTAAGCATACAAATAGCTAACAAGAATAAACTTACAGTAAAATCAAAATTTTTAAAAAACTAAAATGTTGAAGATTTATGTCATTTCTTGTTGATGATAGGATTCAATAATGTTTTTATTCATGTTACACATTACATAAGATTAAAGTTTATGATTTTTCCATAATCAACAGTTGGATCAATAATGACTTGATCCACTTTATATCTTATATTTTCTTCACCATAACTAACAAGTTATAACAATTATTATTTTCATACTAAACTATGTAATGAATTAAGATCCATGTTCTTTCCAGTGACCAACTGAAAGGTAAGACAGTGGTTCTAACTATTCTACACCATGTATAAACCTAATGTTTATATTCTTTCTTGTGACTAACCCTTCCACCAAGTTTGTGACCACAAAGTGTCCATCATAGTTTCCATGTGATAACTTTTACTGCGGTTTGTGTATCTCCCCAAAATGTTTTAAGCCTTAAATGAACATTACAATCCCTTTGTAGACAAAAAAATCAGAAATTTTAATTAAATATTTTTATTAAAATCTTGTCCATGAACATATGGAGTCAGAGTGCTGACTGCTCTGATTACAAAGTGATTTTCATGTTAAAATTAAAAAAACTTTTCATCAGAAAATTTTCAAATTTCATTTGCATAATCTCCGAGATCTTTAAAGTATATATATCACAAGTTTTTTCATAAAACTTTATATTTTCATCTGTTATTTATTCTACCTTAACTCTATACAGGGTTGATTGATTTGACTGACCTTGTAACCACCATAAAATTAGGAAATAAATTTAAATTACCTTTTTTTCTTTATAGAATGATAGCAAATTGTAACAGGAAGCCACAATTGTTACTCCTAAACAGCTTAAAGCTCATAACAGTAAATATCTGTTTCTAAATAATTTTATTAGTTTAGTGCCATTTGAACTGTGTCTAACAAATAATCCTGCCACACAAGTTGTAAAGCACTTCGCGAACATGCAGCTCACATTACTGTATATAAATACAAAATGCAATGAGCATTATCTTACCTCATATCACCTTATCTTATGTAATAAGTTTCTCATTTTTACATTGTAGTTACTTTTATAATAATAAAGAATACACATGAAAAACAAGAAATATAGTATTTAACTGGGCCTCTTGTTTTTTGGCTGTTGACTGTTGATGAATCTTAAGCTTATTTTTCTATACTAATGATAGTACAACACTAAATAATTTTTATCTAATTAAATAATGTACCTGAGAACCCAAAATAATAATACACAAAAAGCAAATGATGTCCTATAACTATCATAGTTTTACTGGCTTTCTAACTATGCAATATTAGCCTTTAAAAATTCAGCTAAGCTTGTCGATGTGATTCCTGTGAGTTAAATGTTTTGAACTGGAGGTGAAATAAAACACTTCTCTGTACATAAAACAATGTAATATAATACATAATTTGATCAATGAAAACTTTGGCTTTCTATTGGTTATAGATAATATAGTATAAAATGTCTGAGAAGTATTGGCAATTTGTGAAAGTGAGCATGTGACAGGTGGGCATAGCAGGTGGGTCCAATTTTCTAGTTTATGGCTACATAAATAAATAAGATTGAATGCTACACAAATTATGCTTTGCCTTGGTAATAGAGAGTTAATGGAAGGTTAGAACGGTGGTTCTAACTTTATACATCATGTATAAATCTAATGTTTGTATTCTTTCTTGTGATTAATGGATGGTTACAACAGTGGTTCTGACTATCCTACATCATGTATATTGTTACATCTCTGGTTGTTTGTTAATTTCAGGTATAAATTCTTCCCAAGGAACTTCAGCGATACAAGTCCTTTCTTTAAATAAAACTAGTTTATTCTTTCTCAATACAACTTTGCAGTACACAGAATTTCCACAGTCACTTTAACTTAAACACACGCTATAATTCACAACATTTCATGCACTTTACTTATGGTCACTACCGCTCGCTTGACTCAATTATCTGTCTCTATATTTCTCTATCTGCTATCTATCTCCGCTTTATTTGCCGGGCTTATATACAATAAAAGAGGATGCCTAGAAAAGACTAGAGTTGCCAGGAAAAGTCAAGATCCCTCGAGAATCTCATGACGTGTTACCAGTGTCACGTGACTTCTGCTGTCGTAACAATATCTTATTATAATGGAGCTTGCAATGTATACGTCCAAAACTTGGATCTTGGAAACTACCACACCAATCATCAACAATCATAACTGGGTAATATTTTTATAACTAGGCAGTATTTTTATGACAATATAATAAAACAATTGAAATTTACACAAAACTGATATGTTTCATATTTAAACAATAAAAATTACAAACAAATGGGAGTAAGTTTCATATTTACCCAATACAAATTACAAAGAAGGAGTAAGTTTAAAATACAAAAAAATGAAAAAACAAACTTACAAAGAAATACTTAAACAAGTTCCACTCTGTGATGTAATGCTGTGATGATAGCTCATTTTTAAACTAAAAGTTCAATAAAATCCTTTTTCATATGGATGGTGAACATTATTGAATGTCAAGTATGAGTAACTTGTTGTATAACTGTCAGACAATTCCAGAAAAGGCCGTAGGCCCAATAGCCTTTCACAGGAATTAGCAGTTATACCTGCTCGGAGGGCAGGTATTTTTGCTAGTAAACCTAATGATTGTATTCTTGTGATTAATGGAATGTTAGAAGAATGGTTCTAACTATCCTATATCATGTGTAAACCTAATGTCTAGATTCTTTTTTGTGATTAATGGAAGATTAAAACAGTTGTTTTAACTATCCTACATCATGTGTAAACCTAATGTCTAGATTCTTTCTTGTGATTAATGGGAGATTAAAACAGTTGTTTTAACTATCCTGCATTGTGTATAAATCTACTCTTTATATTCTTTCTTGTGATTAACTTTCTCGCTAGAGGCTTTGTTGCTTGGTCTGAGTCATGACCCTAAATTGACCTTTGGAGTTTCCATACTAAAATTTTTAATATGTTTTGTGCATCTTCTTGAAATTTTTAAAGCTTTCAGTAAACATTATAAGCTTTCTGTTGAAAAAAAAATCTGAATTTTTACTAAAAATTTCTCTGTCAATATAACAGGTTCACTGTTCCATGTGCAAAGTAATTTTTCATGTTAAAATTAAAAATACTTTTCATCTGAAAATTATCAAATTTCATTCGCATAATCTTTAAAACCTCCTAACTAAATTTCAAACAATTTTTTCAGTAAAACTTTATATTTTATCCATTACTTTCTTTATCATTACTCTATGCATTTGGTCAATTTGACCACCCTCATAACCACCATAAAAAAGAAGAAAATAAACCTAAGTTACCCTTTTCTCTTTCTAGAATAACTGCAAATTGTAACAAAAACTACAATTTGTTATCATCAATAGCTTAAAGCTTGTAATAGTACACACCTGTTCCTACTTAAACTTTATTGTTTTATTGCCTTTTGAGTCATGTCTAACTAATACTCCCACCATACAAGTTGTAAATCACTCAGTGAACATGTAGCTAATGTCACCCTATTGAATTATGTACAAGAAACTCACGAGCATATTGTTACGTCTCTGTTCAATGGTTAATTTTCCATAGAAATTCTTTCCGAAGAAACTTTAGCACTACAAGTCCTTTCTTAAATAAAACTAGTTTATTCTTTCTCAATACAACTTTGCAATACACTTAAATTCCACAGTCACGCTATAACTTAAACAAATGCTATAATTCACAACAACTGAATGATTCACGTGCTTGACTCAATTGTTTTCTCTATCTCTGTCTGCAATTCAATTACATTGTTGCCGTCACTTCTTACCAGTCTTGTATATACAAAAAGGCGTACATCTCGTTTCTTCGTGAATCTTCTAGAATATCATAATGTGTTACCAGCGTCACGTGACTACCGCTGTCATAACAATATCAAGCATACCTCATACCTCATGAAGAATTTTTAATATTTAATTTTTTCTTTATCTTAACTAATCTAACCTTACCTAATAGTTTTCGAATTTTTACATTTTAGTTACTTTCATAAATAATAAATAAAGAATACACATGAAAAACAAGAAACATAGTACTTACCTGAGTCTTGTTTTTGCCTTTGACTGTTGATGAAACTTAACACTACTTTTTTTTCTACTGGTAGAACTATATTAAATAATTTTTTCTTTAATTAAATACTGCATCTACAAAACAGACAATATCCTATAACTATTATAATTTTTCTGTCTTTCTAACTATGCCATAAGAGGTATTAAAAATTCAACTAAGCTCATTGATGTGTTTCCCATGGGAATAATGTTTGAACTGTAAGCAAAATAGATAATTTCCTGTACAGAAAACAATATAATATAATACTTCATTTGAAAAGATTAACACTTTGGCTTTCTAGTGATTAAAATAATATAGTATTAAATGTCAGAAAGAACTTATGGCAATTTGTCAAGGAGAAGAGGTGACAGATGGGAGTGACAAGTAGGTATGATGTTAACATTTTCTAACACTAAAAATGTATTTCTGATAGATACTTACTTCCTCTTACATAATAGCTTTCCTCGATTTGTGCTGCCCTCTGTATGCAAAATTTTTGCTTGCCACTAGTCTTGAGGCTCCCACCTAACAGCTTTGTAGCAAGCAAATGAGCATGCAACAACAGGAGTGTAGCTGACTCCCTCTATATTGTAGAGCACAATCATCACTTTGAGATTAGGCAAGAAAAGACACAGAGGAAGTCAGAAGTGTGAGCAGAAGTATTTATCAGAAATACATTTTCAGTGTTGGAAAACGTTACCTTCTGATACAATACTTTGACTCTACTCACACAATAACTAGA